GCCACAATTTAATTAAATTCCAGTTCAGTATAGTTTCTAAATGCTGGCTGCCCAATGAACTTTTTTTTTTAATTGAATGTTAAACTAAGATTCTGAACCACAGTTTGTAGCTTGCAGTGACATCTGAGTGCAGAAATCCCAGTATACGTAGAATCATCCCTTACCATCTCCTGCATACAGGGTCTAACAATCAGGTATGGATGGTACATTCTCAGGACATGCTGTGTCCTTCCTTCTGCCTTCTTTCCACACTAGGGATGCTGGACTCCAGGTGGGACCTGGCAATCCCCTGGAATTGCAGCAAATCTCCAGACTACAGAGATCAGTTCCTCTGGAGAAAATGGATGCTTTGGAGGGTGGACTGTATGGCATTGTACCACACTGAGGACCTTGTCCTCCCCAGGCTCTATCCCCAGATCTCCAGGAATTTTCCAATCTAGATCTGGCAATCCTACCCCCATCCCCCACTGGTGGCCAAGGAAGATCTGGCAACCCTTTTCCACACATATACTCTTTCCTAACAAGTAGTGAACCAGCAAACAAAATTGTGTCTACAGCATTTCCTGAAGAGGAATTAAAAAACAGTAAGACAAAATATTTTGCTTAATCACATGCTTTTATTCAGTTTGCCAACATACACACAAAAAAATGTGGTACCCAAAACAGTGTAACATGTTTTATGTGCAGTAATTTCTGTGCGTTTGCAGTTCACAAAACCACCTACTGTGTCCAACCTTCCTCCCCATAAAGAAGAAGAGGAGGAGATTGGATTTATACCCCGCCCCTCACTACCCAAATGTCCTGGCCTCACTGGTGGACCTCCTGATGGCACTGGTATTTCTGGCCACTGTGTGATACAGAGTGTTGGACTGGATGGGCCTTTGGCCTGATCCAACATTGGCGTCTCTTATGTTCTTATGACTGGGGCACGACAGATAGATGTTGCTGTCTGATCATGCACTTTAAATCCATAAGGTAACAGCAAGGGCAACGGATCGATTTGCCCTTGTGAACGCGACCTAAGAGAGTAAATTGCTGTGACCATACATTCTTCCCATGTCAGCTTTGTGCAACAAACAGTGGAGTAAAGAAGCTACAATTTATTGTCACACTTGATTGTAATCTAAATCACACAATACAAACACAGTATCTACATCTCTTTGGATATTTTCTTTCACTTTAATTTTAGGTGTTGGTAAATCTTATTCTTTCATATCTGAAATATATATAGCTTTGCATAACCCCCCCTCTAGAGTTTGTAATGGACAATGGATAGTTAATGTGTCTGAGAACCTTGTGGCAGAGGGTTCAAATGGAATTCTACAGTTCAGAGTAGCAATCAGTTCAGTTAAGAGTTTAGTTAAGCAGAGTGAATAGATTAAGAAAGATCCTGAATTAGGAAAATGGGACCAGTAGGCCTTCCCTGAGGGAAATAGATCCTAGAAAAAGGGGGTGGTTCCTATGAAGTGTCTAAGAAAGAAAGTTGAAACTTGAGTGCATGTTCCTACCTTCACAGACTTAATTTTGAGACAAAGAAGCTTATGCCTGCTGTTTATTTAAGCAGTGACTGCCAAGAGATCTCTCTCCACAGTTTTAATGACCTGTCTGTATAACAAAACAGCCACTTTATTATTACAAACTATCTGTTGTATGTATCTATACAGAGTTAACTTATTCCTATTGCCTGTTCACCTGCCAGGTTTAAACCTGATACCTACCTGACCATTTCCCTATAGAAGTGACATAAAGCAATTGGTTTGTTTTGAATTATTATCAGCCTCTTGTGTGCCATTATCAGACATATACAAACAAAGGATTTTTGTCAGTTCCCTAGGCTGGGTCAACATATACATTTAAACTACTGGGTGGGACAGACAACAAAACAAGAAGAAAAGCATCTGCTCAGCCAAGAAAAAGCAATAGGAAAGCGGGAAATTGTTATAGATGTCTATTGACCTTTTTCTCCAGTAGTTTATTCTTGCTATTGAGGAGACACTCGATGTGTAGAATGGCTATCCAAACTGCCTGAAAGTTTTAAAAAACAATGGACAGACCTGTGGGGTTCTATTAAGTGCAAAGTAACACTAACAATCCTGCCAACCTAGCAGTTCAAAAGCAAGAAATTGCAAGTAGATAAATAGGTACCACTTCGGCGGGAAGGTAACAGCGTTCCGTGCGCCTTGGTGTTTAGTCACGCCGGCCACATGACCACGGAAACGTCTTTGGACAGCGCTGGCTCTTTGGCTTTGAAACGGAGATGAGCACCGCAACCCTAGAGTCGGATTCGACTGGCTTTCGAGCAAGGGGACCTTTACCTTTACTTAACACTAACAAAAGACTACAGAATAATTTGTACAAAAGTTATAAATGTATTTATGGTATGCCATCTAAATGGATGATTGGTAGGCACAAAGAATGGCATGCTAATATACCAAACCTTTTAGAAGTTTTCATTTGTTTTTGTTTTTTAATATGTTGGTTTATTCATTGATATCTGTAGAAATTCATAATTCATAAATACATATGCAGGCAGTGATGCACTTTAATTAAATCTGAGGTGAAATTAGTATGCATTACAGTTTTTTGAAATAAAAATATCCACTAATCAAAATGTTAAGCTGATGGAGTTTCTCTCCTCCCCCTTCCAATTAGTATCATTATCTTGCTTTGCATCACTTGTACCAGCTGGCTTTTTGTCAATTTATAGCATGGACCTTTACATCGAAGTAAGGAAAAAAATTAATTACAAGGGAAGAAATCCCAATAGTACTTTAGAAGTCTTTAGTTATCCACATATTAAAGCTGTTGGCTGTGCAAGAAATGAAAAGGAACAGGAGGATCTAATAGGCATTTTACATGAAGTGTCAGTGATTTTTAATGCTCTGTATTCCCCATTTTATTATTATGGCCATTTCACAGATACAAACTGAATTATCCTGTCAAGTATAAGCTGCTACCAATTGTGGTTCCCTAATGAGCATACCTGTATGATGCATATATTGCAAACAGCTATGTTGCATTTTTTTTTACATTTTTAGATATACACTTAAAGATGATGCTGCTAAATTAAAATCAAAGAGAACTTTGATTTTGATTTCAGTGGATTCCGAATTGCAGGCAACATCTTAGTTGTATCCCTAAAATTCTAATCTCTGAAGTGGTCCTTCTTTGCTACTTGTTAGTTCTGTGACATCAGATTTCTTTAAATCCCTGAAAATTATTATTGGAATTAATTGTATCTTTAAAATGAAGAGGATAAAAAGAAGAGGACAGATTCGGGGCTTGCTGGGGATGTTTTAATTAATATTGTAAGTCACTTTGAACCAAGAAGAAATGCAGGATATAAATGTTTTAAAAAATAATAACAAAAAAGGAAAATCATTTTGATTCGTTTTCTCACCAAAAGACAGGATCAAGCAGCTCTAATATTGTACCTCCCTGTGAGTAGCAGAAACACTCATTGTGCAAGAGGACACTTCCCATACTAATTTAGGGGAATGTGAATCTGCCAGTTTAGAGTGCTCCCTGCTCATAGGTAGCAAGCAGGAAGCATCTTATTCAGATACCTCCAGATGAATTTGGATGTTTCTGTTTGCATGATTACCATGTGTTTTCACATGATTAGACTTTCTCGCCACCAGCTACCTTGTCCTGACACTGATCTGCAGCTGCCTAGAAGTAGTAAAATGGGGGGGGGGATCCTGAGTTCAGTGAGATTTGCATGTGCTTTTGTCCTCAGCTAACCTTGCAATTGATTCTTGTGATCACTTCTGAAATGGGAATCAGTGGTAGAACCTCTGTTTTGCATGGAGAAGGTCTCAAGTTCAATCCTTATCATCTCTGGCTGAAAAAAAGGAGAAAAGAAGAAAAAAGCTCTTTTGCTAAGATTCAAGTGATGACATTAGGCTTATAAAAGACCTTATGTGGAACTCTTATTTATTCCCCTTTGTTTTCCTATCCCTGCCAGACATTGAACCTCATGCCATGTCATAGACTGTTGTTGTTTTTGTTTGTTTTTAAAAAAGAGTCCCTCCATGCTTGCGTAGGTGACGTTTCCATGGTCTGTGAGATGCTTTGGCTGGCTGCAGTCTAATTCTTGCTTGATTGAAGTAGTTTCAACAAGAGTATCCCTTTCTAAAACATTTACACATTTTTTTCTGTGTATGAATAAGAATTAGGTATATCTGCTTCAGCTTTTTTTCAAAGACTGAGCATGGAAGCAACATAGTGTCTTCCACTTTAAAGCTAAAATAATATCTTGGTGTAGAAGTTTAAAAACCATTTTGCGATTTCATTTCTAATCTAGTTTTACCTCAGAATCAATAACCTGTGTGTTCGCTACCTTTCTCTAGAATGCTTGGAAACTTTTATTCCCTGACACCCTTTAGTGTTCTTATAAGACAGGTTGTTGTGGTATAGTGATTAGACTGTCCATCAAGGACTGAGGAGAGCCAGATTCAAATCTTCTTTCAGCCATGAAATTCTGTGGATGTCTTTGGGTCAGCTATTATTAGTTTTAACATATAAAACTTGATCTCTCTTAATTATATGCAAAACAAGATGGAAACTGAAGGAGAGCTTTCTTTGAATTGTTGGAAATATAAAAACAGTATGCCTGTTATTTCTTATGGCTCGGGGGAGGGGGGGGGACTTTGGAACGTAGGTCCTGCTACAGCCTAGGATGAACAGTGTCAGTAAAGAGGAAGGATTTTCCTTTGCATTTTTTAACGATTTCCTTGTTAGCAACATTGTTATAAAATCAATCCAGTCTTATCAGTGCTTGTGATATTTAAATGTTATACAGACACACCTATCTATACTTACTAATTAGCAGTCGGAATTTCTAACAGAACTGTCATTGTAGTACAGTGTTTGACAACATTTACAAAATAATATGCAGGTACAACATTTTCTTGGAATAATATGTTAAACTACTGAGAACTATTACAAATGCATTTATATTGCATGGTTTCCTTTGTATTTTTTTTTTTTTAATATAGGTAACGAGTTTGGTCATCCAGAATGGTTAGACTTCCCCAGACGGGGCAATAACGAAAGCTACCATTATGCTAGGAGACAGTTTCATTTAGCCAATGATCAACTTCTTCGCTACAGATTCCTAAATGCATTTGACAGAGATATGAACAAATTGGAAGAAAGATGTGGCTGGCTTGCATCTCCACAGGTAAACTATGTACAGTAAAAATGTTAGGCATTTGTCACTAGCGTTCTGCATGTTTAGAATGTCAATATCAAAAAACTGCATGAAAACATTGTTTCTAAAACAATGTTATGCACTGTGTAATGCTGCTAACATATTTTCAAAAACAATCTGAAATGGTATCCTGTATATTGGAATGTTTCCCTTCCCTTCTATTTGAGATCTTTGGGGAAAATGTTATTAATGCTAATATACTACTGAAAATATTCTAATTATTTTGACAACTTTTTGATGTAAATAATTGTGCTTACTTCAGAAAATTTGGTTAGCCAGCTGCAGGTAATTTGGTAATTTATTATGTTTTTGTCTCCTGAGCATCAAGATTCTGTTTACCTTTACAACTAGCCTACAAATAGATCCTGCTACCAAGTCAGATAATGTTTGATTAAATTACAGGTATGTTGTGAGAGCTACTGAGTTACATGGAACAGTTCAAAAAGAACTATGTAAATTCTTAGCAATAACTGGTAGAAGACCGATTGAGAAACCAGAGTGTGTCAGCATTTGTGTAACAAGAGGAAAAATTACAGCCTTAAATTATTGGAATGGCTTCCACAAGAGACATTTAGAACCTGTTGAAGACATGCGGGTCAATAGTGAGACATTGTGTAGCATACAAAGACACAGAATTTCATAAATGACCGATGCCTATAAAATTCACTTCATAGTAAACTAGTCAGACAAGCGTGCCAGTGCACTGTTTGTGGCTTTTCTGATTTGGTAATCTTAGAAGAAGAAGAAGAGAAGAGATTGGATTTATACCCCACCCTTCACTGGAAGTCTCAGAGCAGCTTACAAACTCCTTTCCCTTCCCCTCCCCACAACAGACACCCTGTGAGGCGGGGCTGAGAGAGCTCTTTCAAGAACTGCTCTTTCAAGGACAACTCTTGTCAGAACTATGGCTTGCCCAAGGTCAACCAGCAGCTGCAAGTGGAGGAGTGGGGAATCAAACCCGGTTCTCCCAGATTAGAGTCCGCACACTTGACCACTACACCAAACTGACTTAGAGCCTGTTCCATTTCTTAATGTTCAATATTCAAGGGAATGGACAATATCTATAATAAGATGGGCATAAAATAAATCTATTCTTGCTGGCCCTGGAGCTACCACCTATAAGCAGTCTGATTCCATCTAATATCATACAGTCAACCCAGGATTATTATATACTTTTTAGAAGTCAGTAGCAGCAAAATAGTTTTGTGATATCAATTGTTGTATAATTTGATCATGTCAGAAATCAGAAATCCAGCATCAACCTATATTATGCTGTTGTTGTTTTCCAGAATAGAGTTTTCAAGAGGCAACCCAAACTGCCAAAGTGTCTAAGCATATTGGTTCTAGAAGATTTGTTCACCATACTGAAAAATCTAATTAATATGCTTATGTCTTGGATACGTAAAATCTCATTTGTAAACCTAAGAGGAAATAAAATATATCTAGCAAAATTAATATAGTCCCAATAATATTGTGTATTTCCAAAAGCTATCCACTTAAATTGTAGCTGAGAATGGTTCAGAATTTTTCATGTGGACAGGAAAATTATTGTTCAGACCACCCACCTGTTTCCACCTGAGTTCCTTACTCCTCTCATAGTCCATGCTCATGTATATTTACTCAGAATTAAATCCTGTGAAAACCTACTGTATGATAATAGGACTGCAGCCTTGATAAAGAGTCCTTTATGCACCTAGTACTAGTTCTTAGTTTCCTTGTTCACAATTTTTTCTTAGTATTTTTCCTTCCCTAAACACTTCTTGCGTCAATTTGATAAGGCTCCCTAGGTTTTTGCATATCTTGCCAAACATAGAAATGGTATATTTAAAAGTCTAGTATTTAAAGGTGATAGCATTCAGATGTACAAACTTAATAGCCCCACTCCAACCTGAAGTCAGGTGTTCATCTTCAAGGAGGAATCCTTAAACACTGATACTTTCATGCTTCTCTCTGGCTGTTGTGGAGGGTTTCCTCTGCTTTGGTGCTTACTTTCTCTGCCACTAGCTGTTCTGTGTGTGTAAAGGCTCTTTAAATAGATCTTGTGTGTGGGTGTGTGCACATAGAAATGCTAGCATCAGAGGAAAGGAGTACCGCAGCAGAGGAAAGCCTACACGATGGCCAGAAAGTAGGACCCAAACCATGGCTCTCTCTTGCCCATTCTCATTTTGAAATCGGTCTTATGTAATACCTGTCATATTTCAGAAAAGTTAATCCTCTCAAGCGTACTTTTAAATATGCTAGACAGAAATATAAAATACTTAGCTCTGTTATGAAGTTCAAGCAAAATACAAATGGGGATCATGGTTAGATGATATCAAAAACTGTAAGAACACCATGAAGCAAGCTAACTAACAATATATTGCATATGCCCAGCTTGAATTATGAAGAAGACTATTTGGGAGTGATAGGAGGCAATGGTGTTCCATTATTTAATATACCCTTCTGATAAGTAGTATCTGACCAAATTAATCGAAGGTTGTCAGATCTTGGGAAAGGGTCTTCTCGAAATGGTTTTTACTGATTGTCCATCAGAATTTGCTCATCTGATTTCTGCTTGAAGTCCTTGTTCTAAGCACCATGGGAGAGCTACCTGGAGATCGTGCAGGTACAGGAGGACTTCAGCTTGTATAATGTGTATTATGTACTCATCATTAGATTGTCCTTAAATTGTGGACGCTGACTGCTTTTTGGATTGTTCTTGCCTTGTATAATATGTTCTGATATCTCCTACCTTATATGTTTATAAAATATATTGAATCTCTATAATTAATTCACTACATGTTGGATTTAATTGTTTATTATAACATACACAGTATATTGTTAATTAGCTTGCTTCACAGAGTTTACAGGTTTTTATACTGTTATGAAGTTCTGCATCATCAGTTGTTCATTTGGGTTTTTTCTTGTTTATTGGTTGTTTTTTGTAAAGCAAGGAGACACTTTTTGGGCCTGCATGTTCCAAGTTCCTGCTCTGGGATGAAGCTGACAGATAAATTGACAAGCAATTAATAGGGTTGCAAAACACCCTGGTGGAGGTGAGGGTCCCCCGGTGCCAGGTCCCACTTCCCTGAGGTCGATCAGCTGGCCGCAGGGGAGAGCTGACCCCAAAAAAGAGGGAAAGTCCTCCCATATGCAGCAACATGTCTATGTAACATGTCTATGTAACTGTCCATGCTATCACTTCTGGGACATCAGAGACAACACTGTGGTATTGGGCAGAAACTCTATGGTAGAAGCCAACTGTTTCATTGAGTTTTTGCCCAAATACCAGAGTGTCACCCCAGCTTCCCAGAAGTGGTAGTGTCACTTCTGGATTGCATGGGCAGTGACATAGACACATTGCTGTAGTTGGATGGGCCTCCATGCTGCTCCCAGTAAGTCCCCTCCCCATTCCTCACCAGTTGCCAGGAGGTACCTGACAACCCTAGCAATTAACCATTCAAAAACAACTTATGTGGCACCTGCGAGTCACAGCTTTTAACATTCTTGTCAACAATAAAATCCTATGCAGCATTAAATCACCATCAATCCATCTGTTGGCCTAAACAAGAAAGAAAGTACATAGTTGAAAGAGTTGTGAAGAAAAGACCAGTGCCTTTGAATGTTGTCTTCACATGTCATTGTGAGGATATTTCTCTACATACCTTCTTCTTCTATAGCTGAAGTGAAATGTATAAACTGACATGTTATTCCTTTTTTTCTTTTACAGCTTACCTAGCTCTTTAAAAATTAAAACCATAGTTTTAGGATCTGCATGGTTATAGGCTTACACTGTGAGATAGGTTTTGTACATGTACATTTTTTTTTCTTCACAGTTGCTTAGCTGAACTCAGTATAGTGGCAACATGGACTCCAATTAAAAAAATCTTTAAAAAAACTCTTTTTCAGGCTTATGTGAGTGAAAAACATGAATCAAACAAAGTCATCGCTTTTGAGAGGGCAAATCTCCTGTTTATATTCAATTTCCACCCATCTCAAAGCTTTACAGATTACAGAATGGGTGTACAAATACCAGGAAAATATCCTTTATTTTACTCTGGTGTAACATATATAAAAACTTAATTTATAGTAATGTGGGTTTTTTTATTATAAACTAGGTTTTAGGTATTATGTGTTCAAAATTTGATTTCACACTTTAATGAAAAGGAAAACAATTAATAGTTTATATTTGCTACATTAATGTGCATTCTGTGATAGTGACTGTAAAAACAAATTTATATGTGTATAGGCATATTGTGTTTACATTTCATAGGTTGTCTTTGCTGTACATTGTGAGACAAAGTACATATGCTTTCATCTTGGAAGAATATGTGGGGATTTCTGCACAAAATCTCTTAGCCATGTCGAAGTCTAGTAAAAGTTGCCATTTACACCAAAAATGTGTATTTATTCAGCAAACAGGTTTCTACATAAGGAGTTTACAACTTAATTTGACAGTGGGGTGGGGACAAAAGAAAGGGTGGATCCTGGAGCCCCACCATGCCGTTTCCCTTGTCCTTATTTGCCTGGTTCCCTGGTAAGCTGTATCCAGTTTTCAGAATGTTCTTTTGTCTACCACCATATAGCTCTGCTATTCAGGACTCTATTTTATTTCTTTATGTATTTTATAAAGGCAGCTAACAAATTAAAAATACTATTTTATTTCTTTATGTATTTTATAAAATGTATACTTGACCTTTCTGACCTTACAGTGGCCACAAAGGCAGCTAACAAATTAAAAACACACATAATTAAATCACATCTTAAAAATCACTAAAACAAAACAAAAACACATAATTAAAGCCAGTGCTAAAATACATATACAAAAGCATAAAATTAACAATTAAAACATTGGGCAGGAAGGAGGGATCACTCAGGGAATGCCAAATGAAAAAAGGCTTCACCTACTGGCAGAAGAAGGCAACAGAAGGGGACAGCCAAGTCTCCCTGGAGAGAGAGTTCCAGAGTTCTGGCGCCACAAGTGAGATGGTCTGCTCCTGGCTTGCCACCCACCTAATCTCAAAAAGTGGGGGCACCCAAATTGTGGCCTCTGAAGATGATGGCAGTGGTTTGGTCATTTCATAAGAAAATAGGAGGTCCTTCAAGTATGTTGGTCCCAAAACACATGAGGCTATAACACAGTGGTGGCAGGAAAGTGTTGTTTCTATGCTGCCATCACTGCCACAGAGTATGCTTTCAAATGAGCTTTTATTGTGTCTTATCAGATTTGTCCAGATCCTGTCATCACCTACAGCCCCTCAGTAAACCAAGCTACCTGGGCTCTAACACTTGAGAGAGATTGTCTGGGAGACATCATGTCAACCACCAGGATTATTTCCTCATTTCAGAGGTTAACTAGGGCATCACCAGGAGCACCCGATATCAACAGAAAGATCCTTCAGAGGCCATCAGCAAGCCATTTGGATCTATCAGGCTTTGGAGGTGGATAATTTTAATGGATTCCTCCCCCTCCCGTTAGCCCTGCAAAGGCCGGCCAATCTTGATCCTGGAGGGGAGGGGCTTGTTCTCTGGTTCCCCAGTCGGTCACCAAGCCACATGACTCCCCACGATCTGTAGAAAACACTGCAACCAAACCAACATGTCCTCCCAAAAAATGGGAATGAGTGACACTCCACAGACGAAACACTGCAACCAAACCAACATGTCCTCCCAAAAAAATGGGAATGAGTGACACTCCACAGTCTACAAGTAACATCAACTGTATTTGAACAGAATATGAACCAGACCATAAAGACTTCCAGCATTACTCACCACTAGAAATTGTCTCCTGCACAACATGAGTGCATTCCAAAAACTGCCCGTCAAGGCAAAAAAATCCCCTGATAGGACCCGAAAGCCGCTCCCTCAACCAGGGCGGGTAGGACTGCCCCACTCCCGGACCAACGAGAAGGAAGCTTCACAGTAAGTGAATAAAATGTTCCGTTCTCCGGTGGTCCTGGAAGTGGGCAGTCCTTAATTCCTTACTCCTGGGACATATAAGAGCAGTACTCCCCAGGTTGGGTCCGGCGGCTTCCGAACCTCACAGGGCATATTGAAGTACCCCTCTGTCAAGCGCGGCCTCAGCCAAAGTCAGCTTACCTATCCAATAATCCTTATTAAAGGAATGAGTAGACTTCCATGTATCCTACCCAGTGTTCCCTCTAAGCTGAGTTAGTGTGAGCTAGCTCACAGTTTTTTAGCCTCCAGCTCACAGATTTTTCTCTTCACTCAGGAAGGATGGCTCCAGAGCAAACTAATTTGCAGTAGCCAAATCGCTCGCTCACAGCTTTAATGCCGCTAGCTCACAACACAGAATTTTTGCTCACCAGACTCCACAGCTTAGAGGGAACATTGATCCTACCTACCAATTATGTCCAAAGACGGAACCCCCTATATACTGCTGATGTTTCTGCCCCCCTCAGAGAGTGTACGGTAATCCCCCTGGGGGGTTCTAAACCGTGTGACTCGTTAGGCCTTAACGATACACCTCTTGATCCACCTACGCAGCATAAAGGTAGACAGGCATAGAAGACAGGTATTTGATTGAGACATCGACCACTGGGAGTCCAATCCTTTTTGTGTAGCCTCTGGCAAACAAGGAATAAGGCTTAGAGAACACAGGGGTATTTGCCTTGGGGTATTTAAAGAGTTCCTTTCTTTGACCTCAGGTGTCAGGAGCAATGGAATCATATAAGTTTATGATCAAGGCAAGAGATGTTCAGAGGTGGCTTGCCATTACCTGCCTCTGTCTCACTTCTTTAGTGGTCTCCCATCCAAGCACCAACCAGGGCTGACCCAGCTCAGCCCCCAAGCTCTGACGAGATCAGGCCAGCCTGAGCCATCAAGGTCAGGGCCCTTCCCATTCTGCTAAGATGTTATAGAAAGAAGCAGGCAGAGGGACCCCTGATGCATTAGAGTTTGATTTGGGAATGGCTTTGTCCGATCCCACAGGGAAGTCTGCTGCCCCTTCACCTTCCTTGGACTTAGGAATACAAGAGGGCTGCAGTGCTCTCAACACCTCTGGCAACAACCTATCATATAAATCCTGAGAGAAAGGCCTAGATTGGTTCTCAGACCGTTCTCCCTCCTTTTTGGCTGCAGCAAATGCATCAGTCTCAGAGTCATCCTCAATGTCTCTGACTACAGGACTTTGATCTCTCTCTCTAGAGGAGGCTTTCCTGTCCTTCTTTCAGGGGGGGGAGGCCTGTCCTGAGAACTGCTGTCTCTACACTTCTCGTCCCTCGTGGGTTGAGTGGAAGCTGTCTGCTGACATAAATCTCTGAACTCCTACACCATCACCCTGAGTCATAGAATGGCTGTCCTTCCTGCCTTTTTTTCTTTCACTTCCAGCCCCACAGGGGGAGGAGAGAACACAAACAATACATCCTTCCCAACCTGGTGGAAAAAAAACAAAGCCTGCTGCCCTGTTCCTATCCCCAGGGCTCTGAAGGAAAGGTACCATGCAGTCACCCAAACTCTGCACACTCTCCATCTACAGGAGCTGAGTTGGGGGGAGTTTGGGAGCCTTGACCATAAGTGCAAACTAGGCCAGCTCACAGGAGCCAGCCTGAGTTGCCTGGCTCCCCCCGTGGCCAAATTTCCCCCTACCGTGCTTCAGAAGAGTAGGATGAGCCGACTGGAGCCACCAAGCAGCCCGGTTGTCTGTGCTGCAGGGATGAAAAAACAAGGCTCCAGCCCCGCACAGGATCGCGACAGCTCAAGCCGCGCCACCCGTGCACATTTCACCTCCGCCTCTCTCCCCTGCCTCTCGCCACACCAGGCTCACAGCTTCCGGAACTGGGCAGGGGAGCAGGAACCTTTAGCGGCACCAGGCAGCCTCACGGGTTGACGTAGGCGAGTTCCCCGGCTGCTGTGACTGCCTGTGGGCCTCCCAATGCTGCCGGCAGCCGTTCCCCGCAATTCCACCTGCAGGTCCAGGAGGGGTGGGGAGGCAGAAAACACCTTCCCCCACCTCCCTAAAAGCTCATCTTGTTTCTTTGCTTCTTCTTTGTCTTCTGCCAGGATCTTTGTGTTCCTTAGAGCACAGCCAGATGTCCTGCTCCGAAGGCAGGGCTGGTAAGACTGGGGAACCAGAGAACAAGCCCCTTCCCTCCAGGATCAAGTTTGGCCAGCAGGGGAGAGGCTAATCCCAGGAGTAAGGAATTAAGAACTGCCCCACTCCCGGACCACCGGAGAACCATCGTTCAAGTTTATGCCCCAGCTAGAGATGCCGATGAGGAAAAAATGTAAACCTTTTATGCTTGTGTCCAGGAAGAAATTGATCCCACACCTAAAATAGATGTGCTGATAACCGTAGGTGACTGGAATGCAAAACTAGAAAACAAAGCAGAATCAAATGTCATTGGAAAATTTGGGCTTGGAATGAGGCCCATAGCCAGATATTTTTTCGGGGGAGAGGGCAGTTCAAAGCTAATTTAATTTCTGGAGCTAAATTAATTCCTGGAGACGAAGTAGAAAGCCCATTCAGCCCCATCTGGCTCCGCTCATCTTACCTGCAGCCAAAGCCACCTGATTCTTCCTTCAATGCATGACAAGAACAGTGTGTGACAGGATCCTCTGTCCTCTGCCCAGCCTTAGCCATGTGCAATCACCTGGCTTCTTCTTAATTAGTACCTGGCCTCCTGCACTCTGGGTAGCACTTGAGCCGTCACCCTGCCTGGCGTCAATCCAAAGCCAAGCATCCCTCCCCACCCCCTTCCCACCTTCCCTTCCTTGGAGGAGAAACGCTCTGCCACTGCCTCTTGAAAACCATGCTGGGCCTTCCCTTCCCTCAGCTTGCCAAGCAGCCACCCACCCCACAGCCCCCACCTCCCTGGCCAATTCATGCAGGGACAATATGCCTCTTCCTGGGATAAGAAGGGGAGGTGGCTGGAGAGGTTTACAGTGCAGCTGGTGCAGCTAGGGCAAGAGGAGGGTTTGCCACCAGACCCCAATGACAGCTTTGTAAGGCAAGAAGAGGGTTTGCTGCTGCCCCCCTCAAAGGGTTTGCCACTTACCCCAGACTTTCTCCCCCTCCAGG